TTATGTCTGGATTCTCAATTGTGTTCTATTGGTCTATATATCTGTTGTTGTACCAGTACCAGGCTGTTTTGACTACCGTGGCAATATAATAGTTTCTAAAATCAGGTAGTGTGAGGTCTTCCACTTTGTTCTTCTTCTTGAGTAATGCTTTACTTATTTGGGGTCTCTTGCCTTTCCATATGAAGTTGGTGATGTATTTCTCCATCTCATTAAAAAATGCCAGTGGAATTTGGATCGGGATTGCATTGTATCTGTTGATCACTTTGGGAAGAATTGACATTTTCACTATGTTAAGTCTACCTATCCATGAGCAAGTATGTTTTTCCACTTATGTAGGTCTCTTTTGGTTTCTTGAAGTAGTGTCTTGTAGTTTTCATTATGTAGATCTTTTACGTCTCTGGTTAGATTTATTCCTAGGTATTTTATCTTCTTGGGGGCTATTGTAAATAGTATTGATTTGGTGATTTCCTCTTTGAGGTTCTCTTTGTTAGTGTAAAGGAATCCAACTGATTTTTGTATGTTTGTCTAGTATCCTGAAACTTTGCTGAAATCTTTTATTAGTTCTAGTAGTTTTCTTGTGAATTCTTTGGGGTTTTCTGTGTATAAGATCATATCATTTGCAAATAGAGATACTTTGACTTCTTCCCTGCCAGTTTGGATGCCCTTTATTTCTTTTTCTAGCCTAATTGCTCTGGTTAGGACCTCTAGCACAATGTTGAATAAGAGTGGTGATAAAGGGCATCCTTCTCTGGTTCCCGTTCTCAAGGGGAATGCTTTCAAAGTCTCTCCATTTAGGATGATGTTGGCTAAAAAACTAAGTGAATTTTAATGAAATTAAATAAATTAGATGAAAATTAAGTTAGATGCAAAAAGCCTGTAATACTGTAAGCATTCATAAAATATTAGGTTTTAGTTTTTGAGAAAATCTGAATTACAGACTAGAAGGCACATACCTGTTGGCTTTAAAAGTTTATTTTCTAGTGTTATTTCTCCAAAATGACCACTAAGAAAATGTTAAATAACGTATCAGTTTCTACTTATTTTTTTCTTTTCCTCTTCCTCTCTTTATTCCAAGAAATCTTCTCTTTATTTGTTAATGGAAAGGTGGATAGTAAAAAAGCCCAATACCCAAGGTTATTTGTTACCACTTGTTTTAAAGTTTTATTCAACCCATTAATGAGAAGAGCTAGTCTCTAGAGTGTTTGTAAAGCAGAAATTTACATAGTTAATTGGGAAAGAATTACTAAGTTAAATACAGAATCAATTGTCCTGTAGGGTAGTGAAATCACAAACTTTGGGGTTATCTTTCTTACCAAACTTAGAAAAAAAAATCACATCTTAGTAGTTTTTTACAATTTAGTCTTAAACTTTTGTAATTGTTAGCTGCCGTGTTGTCAGCCCCAACTCATGGCGACCCCATGCGCAATAAGATTGGACTGTTGTGATCCATAGGGTTCTCATTAGCTGATTTTTGGAAATAGATTGCCAGGCCTCTCTTCCTAGTTTGTCTTAGTCTGGAAGCTCCACTGAAATCTGTTCAGCATCACAACATGCAAGCCTCCACTGACAGATGAGTGGTGGCTGCACTTGAGGTACCATTGGTCAGGAATCGAATGTGGGTCTCCTGCATGGAAGGCAAGAATTCTACCATGGAACTATGACTGCCCTACCTTACAGGACTGTAAATTTTCTGGGCTCCAGTCAAACAAAAGTATGTCCCCCGAGAGACTCAGACAACTGTCATATTAGAAAATACTCTAGCATGGTATTTTTAAAAATCACGGGATCATTGATTTGCTTTATTTTCAAGTTTTTCATAATTTTCCTTCCACAGTAATTAACTGTGTTTTAGTTCACAGTAATTAAGCTTCTTCATTGCTTCACTCTCTCTTGTAGGGTACATAATTCATCTAATAACAATAATAAAAAGATGGGGATTTTCCATTTTAGGGAGAAGTTAGAAGGTTAACTAGAGCCTTTTTTTTTTTAAATAAAGGAAAAGAAATACTAATAGAGTGAAGGAAGCAGACTGATTGTGAAGAGAGGAGGGGTTAAGTTTGAAGGAGGGAGGAAAGAAGGGATGTGAACATGGGGGTAGAAGATGCTCAGATAATTTCACAGGCATGTTCTCTGTGGACTCCTGACTCCTTCCTTGTTCTTAGAACTATGACCCACTGTTCCCTGGGAAGGAGGAGGGGATGGCAAAAAGCTACCTACAGTCTGCAGAGAATGTTGATGGAATCCATGCCTTTTTGAGACCCCCTCCCCCTCTGTCTAATGTTTGTTCTCCATGGGTTCAAAGCTCTTTTATTTGTGCTTCCTTTGAAGTACTTAATAGGGGCAGTGGTGGTTCAGTGGTAGAATTCTTGAATGGAGGCAGCTAACAAAATTAAGACATTGCAAAAGTACTTGAGCAGGCCCTAATTTGTTCTCTTTTCATCCATAGTGGCGTAGATGTTCATTACGGAGTTACCTTCAATGGTGAGGCCATCAGCAATACCACCTGGGACCTAATTAGCCTTCACTCCAACAAAGTGGAAAACCATGGCCTTGTGGAATTGGATGATAAGCCCACTGCTGTTTATACGATTAGTAACTTCAGAGATTATATCGCTGAGACACTGCACCAGAGCTTTTTGTGGGGGAACTCTTCCTTGAATCCAGATCCTGATTCCCTTCAGCTTATCAATGGTGAGTTTGATAAGCTCTGGCAAAAAGTAATTTTCCTAAAGTACATGTGGTTCTGAGCATTCTCTGGTCTGCATGAGATAGGAACCATCCTAATGTCAATGGAGCTTTAGCCACGCAGCTATTTTGCATAGATTAATCAGAGGCTCTGTGGAATATTTGAAGACAGAGGCCACAAAGAGTGGGGAGAGTGGAGAGATAGCATGACATTTAGAAACAGTTTAGAGAAATGGGAGCAAAGTATAAGAAAAAGGAAGTTGTACCTGGGAGTATGAATTGAAACAGGTTATATAGTGCTGCCCAGGTAACTGAGACATTAACTCTCCAGAGGCAAGTCTGCTGGTAAAGGGTTAAAAGTCAGAGAGCAGAAGAGAAGAAGCAGGAAGGCTGATGGAAGATCTTAATCAAAGAAGAATTGATAATGGGTGCCAGGCAGAATACCAGGGAATCTAATACGAAGTTTGACATCAGATAGCTGTGGAGATGCAGTTATGATCCGAAATAAGCAGGTGGATATGGGGTCATCAATGGGAGAATAAATACTCTAGATTTAAAGTCAAAAGGGTGGCCCAGTCAACATGGAAGTAAAACTTGCAAAGAGTCTGGTTACTAGTATGCAACAGCTTAGCTCTTCAGGGATGCGGTGTGCTGTTAACTCACTTGCTATTTCATGAAGAAATCTCCATGATTTTTTCACTTATTGGTAGTTTAGCTTTTAAAAATATCCAGCAGAGTTTATTTTACTGAAGTGACTGAACATGGGAGCTGTCAAAGAGAAAAAGGTAAAAAAATTAGTGGTGGAAGAGAGTAGAATCAATTTGAAAGATAAGATAGAGAGATACTTAGGGAGGGAATTAAGAATTCTTAGGCTCGGGTTTGGGGAGAATTTTTAGGAGAGAAAGGAAAATCTTTGGGTAGTTGTGTGTGTATATGTGTGCATATGTTGTGTGTGTGTCAAAGAGAGCTATAGGGAGGGAGAGAGGAAGAGAAAGAATTTTAAACAAAAATTTTCTGTGTGTAATATGATTCCCTTCTCCCAAAATAAGATTTTTTTTTTTTTTCTTTTTGAGATCCTGGACTAAAACTTTAGATTAGTTTTTAATTAAACTTTGAATGCTGGACTGATGTTTCTTTAATGTGACACTGTGCAAAGACAGGACCACAAAGTGGCCTGGACTTTATATGGCTTACATAGGACTTTAAAGTGGAGAAACTCTTTTCAGTGGATAATAGTGGTATAAAGCTATCAGTTCTAAAGCACTAGGGAGTCATTGTTTTTTGGAGCAGGCAGGTACCCTGGGCTTCCATGCTCATTTTTCTTTGTTGAATCTTGTTGGAATACTTGGGCCAGATAAAATACTGAAAAGAGAAGAGGCTTGTAATAATCTCAGTTTGTTAAAGTTCTTTTGGCAAGGCTAATATAGACTAGCTGGGGGCTACTCACAAGGACAGCATATGGGCAGAAGGTTCCAGGAATCTGGATACTGGGATCCAACAGAGAAAAGATATAGCTAGGAAGTCATGAGCTGAGGGAGACTGAACTTAAATTAAACAGAAAATACAAGCACCAAGGTAGTAACCACGGTGGTGGGAGAATGGCATAAGAATTAAGGTATGAAATAGGCAAAGTGAGGTTGTTTAGGAAATTAAATCCACAAACAGCATAGCAGGGTCTTCCTGCTGGAGGCTACCAACAGAATGGAGCTACTTCCCAAAAGGTGTTCTAAAAGCCTGTTTAAATTTCCAGGATATCCAGCACCAACTAATTCGTGTGCTTTGGACTTTCATTAGATGTATTTTTGTATTGCTCAGAATTTTGTTCCTAAAATCCATTCCTATGCCAACTCACAGTTCTGAATGGCTGTAGCTTTCTAGGTAACGTGGTCAGCGTCTCAGAAGATATGATCATCCTTGATGTCGTGGAGCTTATTTTCCACATAAGACAAGATGATTGTTCACACAGTTGAAAAAGAGTTTTAGAAAATACACCAAAAAGAGTTTTTACATTTCTGGTTGATTCCTATATGTCAGGCCAGTGGAAGCAGGGGGATAAAGAAAGATTCTGCCTCTGATTTTGGTCCGATACACCAGAATACTTTCCTGGCAATCTCTTCTTTTTAAGTTTCGTTGACTTCCTCTTCCCCCCAAGCAAAATTAATTGCTTCTTTGTGTTTCCATATGTTGTGTATATGGCCCTCATGTAGTTTTATAATTCGTATTTATTTCTCTGACAGGGCATGCTTCCAGAGGAGAAACTTGGCTTTATTAATCTTTATAGTTTGGATTTCAGCAAAGTCTTTAGTAACTAGTAAAGATTCAGTAAATCTTTGTTCAATTAAATTATATAATTGGGATAGCAATATTGAAAAGCAATACTGACTCTCTTTCCTTTATTGCTTTTCAATATTGCTATCCTGATAAATAATAGTGTCCTAGTCCATTTTACAAAAGAACTTTCTGCCAAAAAGGGAATCATTTTGCATAATTTTCTACCATTCTTAGCATTAGTCAAACGGGTTGAAATTTCAGTTCAACATTCTTACTTAGAATGAAAAAAAATCAGTGTTAAAATAACTGCCTCATATAAATATTGAAAAGAGTAAAAACTGATGTGAGAGAGGAAAGGAAATAATACAGGAGTGTAGTAACTATAACAGTGGGAACAATTTTTATTTTATGTTGGATTCTTACAATTCAGACAGTTGTATTAATATAAGTACTAATATAAGTAAAAATATCTGAATAAAGTAGCAAGTGTTTTTAAGCCTCCCCTTCCTGTTCTTCTAAAATTCAAGCTGTTAGGAGAATGAACTTGGTTTGTAGTTGTCCCTGCACCTCTAGTGTCTTGACTAGAAATGTTCAATATTGTTCTTTCCTTAGTGAGAGAAGTTTTGCTTCCCCAAACTGAAGACCCAGTTTGGAACACCCAAAGTTCAAGTGTTCAGGCAACCACACCATCTATTCTGGTAAGTGTGTTTCTATGTTTTATGACTAGAACCAGGCCTTCAAGCTCCTCTTCGTACCTTCACCTGCTTACTTTGGCATAATGAATTTCCCCAAGCTGTTCCCATTTTAAATATTCTCTTGCATCATCTCTGGAATGTTATTCATAGTTGTCAGCTCATGGGTCCAAACTCCACACATGGTAGCAATCTTGTTTATGGTTCATAGTTTTTGGTGATAATTAAGCTATAAGTGACCACTGAGTTGTTCTTTAAGAGTCACCCAGAAATAGTTTTTTATAGCCAAGACTGTATATTAATTTACATAGGTACAGAGTATAGACTTTTGTTTCAAGAATTATATGGAGGAAAAGTTTAGATTCCAAAGTATATTAAAAAAAAAAGAAAAAAAATGTTTGCTGTCGCGTTGATTCTGACTAATAGGGACCGTATAAGAGGGTAGAACTACCCCATAGGATTTCCAAGGAGTGGCTGGTGGATTTGAACTGCCAGCCTTTTGCTTAGCAGCCATCACACTTAACCACTGTGCCACCAGGACTCCCCAAAGCATATAGAACAGTGTATATAAAATGGAGAGAAGAAAGAATAAAAATATAGGATAGCTGACAAATGACAGGGACTTTAAATTAGGCCTCATTTTAACCTGGACTGAAAATATACCCATTTGAACAGAAATAGCATGGAATGAGTTTTTCCTTTGTTCTTACCACTCTGTTCCATTGGGTACCCCCTACCCTCTTAACACCTCTACTCACTACTTCACGTATAGCAGGGCTGCTGGTAGAGAAGAAAGTAGCTTCCTCAAGTGCAATTACAACAATAATCACAACAGCCACAACTACAACACTAGAGACTTTCTTGTCTACAGTGAGCGCATGAATCTTTTACTATCACATAAGCATAGGAGGGGGACTCCCTTCTCCTTCTACATTCCCCACTCCTTCTACTTTCTTTTTCTTTTTTTTTTTTTTTTATTGTGCTTTAGGTGAAAGTTCACAGAGCAAATTAGTTTGCCATTCGATAGGTTGTACATAAAGTGTTCCACGACAATGGTTGCATTCCCTGCAATGTGTCAGCTCTCTCAGTTTCCAACCTGGGCTCCTCATTTCCTTTAGTCCAGATTTGCTACCCCTTCCTGCCTTCTTCATCTTTGCTTTTGGGCAGATATTATTCTTTTGATCTCATATAACTCATTGCTCTAAGAAGCATGTTCCTCTTGGGTGTTATTGTTTATTTTATGGGCCTATCTATTGTTTGGATGAAAGGTAGTCTCCGGAAATGGCTTCAGTACCAGGTCAGAAAGGTGTCTTAGGGCCATAGTCTTGGGGTTCCTCCACTCTGGTCTTTTTTGTGAATTTGATTTTTTGTTCTACATTTTTCTCCCGTTCTGTCCGAGACCCTCTGTTGTGATCCCAGTCAGAGTAGTCAGTACCATCTAGTTGTTCTAGTCTTGGATCGTGTAGGCTGTGGTTCATGTGGTCTATGTGGTCCATTAGTCCTTTGACTAATTGCTCCCTTGAATCTTTGGTTTTCTTTACTTTCTTTTCGCTCTGGATGAAAAGAGACCAATAGTTGTATCTTAGATGGACAGTTGTAAGCTTTTAAGACCCCAGATGCTACTTACCAAACTTCTTTTGAGTCTAACCTCTTTGAAATATTTCTTTTATTTTTATTATTATTTTTATTGTACTTTAGATGAAGGTTTATAGAACAAACTAGCTTCTCATTAAACAGTTAGTACACATATTGTTTTGTGACATTTGTTGCCAACCCTGCGACATGTCAACACTGTCCTCTTCTCAACCTTGGGTTCCCTATTACTGGCTTTCCTGTCCCTTCCTGCCTTCTCATCCTTTTCCCTGGGCTGGTGTGCCCATTTAGTCTCATTTTATTTTATAGGCCTGTCTAATCTTTGGCTGAAGGGTGAACCTCAGGAGTGACTTGATTACTGAGCTAAAAGGGTGTCTGGGGGCCATACTCTCAGGGTTTCTCCAGTCTCCATCAGACCAGTATGGTTTGTTTTTTTTTGGTGAGTTAGAATTTTGTTCTATATTTTTCTCCAGCTCTGTCTGAGTCCCTCTATTATGATACCTGTCAGAGCAGTCAGTGGTGGTAGCAGGGTACCATCTAGTTGTGTGGACTTAGACTGGTGGAGGCCGTGGTAGTTGTGGTCCATTAGTCGTTTCTCTTGTGTCTTTTGGTCTTCTTCATTCTCCTTTGTTCCTCATGGGGTGAGACCAGTGGAGTATCTTAGATGGCCGCTCACAAGCTTTTAAGACCCCAGACGCTACTCACCAAAGTAGAAAGTAGAACATTTTCGTTATAAACTATGTTATGCCAATTGCGCTAGATGTTCCCCGAGACCATGGTCCCCACAGCCCCCAGCTTGTTAGTAATTCGGTCCCTCAGAGAGTTTAGATGTGTCTGTGGAGCTTCCATGACCTTGCTTTGGACAAGTTGTGCTGTCTTTCCCAGTATTGTGTACTGTCTTACCCTTCATCAAAGTTACCGCTTATCTATTGTCTATTTAGTGTTTTTCCATCCACACCCCTCCCCTCCCTCATAACCATCAAAGATTGTTTCTTTTGTGCATAAACCTTTTCATGAGTTTTTATAGTAGTGGTCTCATACAATATTTGTCCTTTTGTGGTTGTCTTACTTCACTCAGGATAATGCCCTCCAGATTCATCCATGTTGTGAGATGCTTCGCAGATTCATCATTGTTCTTTATCGTTGCATATTTCTCCATTGTGTGTATGTACCATAGTTTGTTTATCCATTCATCTCTTGATGGGCATCTAGGTTGTTTCCACCTTTTTCGTATTGTGAACACTGCTGCAGTGAACATGGGTGTTGTCATGGATTGAATTGTGTCCCCCCAAAATATCTGTCAACTTGGCTGGGTCATGATTCCCAGTATTATATAATTGTGTACCATTTTGTAATCTGATGTGATTTCTTATGTATTGTAAATTCAATCACTATGATCTAATAAGATGGATTAGTGGCAGTTATACTGATGAGGTATACAAGACTGGATAGTGTCTTAAGCCAGTCTCTTTTGAGAAAGAAAAGAGAGAAGTGAGCAGAGACACATGGGAACCTCATACCACCAAGAAAGCAGTGCCGGGAGCAGAGCACGTCCTTTGGACCTGAGTTTCCTGTGCTGAGTTGCTCCCAGACCAAAGGAAGACTGATGCATCACAAGGACCTTCCTCCAGAGCTGACAGAGAGAGAAAGCCTTCTCCTGGAGCTGATGTCCTAAATTTGGACTTGTAGCCTACTGAACTGTGAGAGAATAAACTTCTCTTTGTTAAAGCCATCCACTTGTGGTATTTGTGTTAGAGCAGTACTAGATGACTAAGACAAATGTGCATATGTCTATTCGTGTGATGGCTCTTATTTGTCTAGGGTATATTCCTAGGAGTGGGATTGCTGGATCATACGATATTTCTATTTCTAGCTTTCTAAGAAAGTGCCATATCATCTTCCAAAATGGTTGTACCATTTTGCATTCCCACCAGCAGAGCATCAGTGTTCCAATCTCCCCACGGCCTCTCCAGCATTTATTTTCTGTTTTTTTGATTAGTGCCTGTAATATCGGGGTGAGATGGTATCTCGTTGTGGTTTGGGTTTGCATTTCTCTAATGGCTAGTGATCTCAAGCATTTCCTCATGTGTCTGTTAGCTGCTTGAATGTTTTCTTTGGTGAAGTATCTGTTCATGTCCTTTGCCCATTTTTTAATTGGATTCTTTGTCTTTTTGTTGTAGAGGTGTTGGATTTTCCTGTAGATTTTAGAGATTGGACCGTTGTTGGATTTGTCGAGCCAAAATTTTTTTTCCAGTCTGTAGGTTCTCTTTTTACTCTTTTGGTGAAGTCTTTTGATGAACGTAAGTGTTTAATTTTTAGAAGACCCTAGTTATCTAGCTTATCTTCTGGAGTTTGTGTGTTGTTAGTTATGGTTTGTATCCTGTTAATGCTGTGTATTAGAACTTCTAGCATTGATCCTATTTTTTCTTCTATGATCTTTATAGTTTTTGGTTTTATATTTAGGTCTTTGATCCATTTTGAGTTAGTCGTTGTGTATGGTGTTAGGTATGGGTCCTGTTTCATTTTTTTGCAGATGGACAGCCAGTTTTGCCAGCACCATTTGTTAAAAAGACTGTGTTTTCCCCTTTTGATGGACTTTAGGCCCTTGTCAAAGATTGAAATATTTGTTTCTTGACTTTAATCCAGCAATGAAAATTTAGGAAGCCTGCCCTAAACTCATTTCGCCATTAATGCACATTGTCATTTCTTCTACCCAGTTATAGAGCAACTCAGTTTTGAAATGTGAAATCAGTGGAAAGAATATTTTCATTTAGTTCCATATCAGGAAAAAAGGTTAGAGGGGGATTGACATCTGAGAACACAGTCATTGGTTGTTTATTTGTTCATTTATTCATCTGTTCAAATATATTTATTTTGTCCTTTATAAGTGCCAACTACTGGGGAAACTAAGATGAACAAGGTGTGGCTTCTGCCTACAGGAAGTTGGTAGTAGTAGATGGATTTCTAAACATACAAGGTGACGTAGACACTTTCATATAAGTCCATCTAGGGTACAGCGGCAGGGAGTGGTGGTTCTCTGCAAACATGACACCACAAGCCTCCATTCCTTCTAATCATGCTCAGCCTGGGCCTTCTCTGACCGCAGAAGATTTGTGATGATATTCCAGAGTCATAGTGTAAAGACAGGAATTTCTGTACAAGCCAGAGGTTACAAGCTGGAGGCAGCAAGATGCATCCAGCTACAGACATGCACCTTTGGGCCAAATTTTAAAAAATGAGCTAGTATTTTAAAATTGGTAAAATTTTGCATAAAAATATTGATTCACAGCTTCTATTGAAAACCAGAAAGACCTGGTACCACTGGGTTTACATTTCCTTGTGGGAGAAAGTGGCTAGAGCTCAACCATGGCTGCCCTTTAATGAGAGGCAAGCACTGACAAGCTGGGCTCACT